TTGCTGCTCTCGGCATTAGAAATGTCAGTAAAGGAAACCTGAAGGCATAGCAAAGTTTATTTAGTACAGCACCGTCCTCAGAACAAGGTCAAAAAGTGCCTAACAAAATTAAAATAATAATGATAATTACAACAATGACAACAACGGAATATCACAAAAAATGAACAAAAACTCAGAAAAGCTATACAAGCTATATAAATGACAAAAGATGTTCATAAGCCAATTTAAAAACACACTTCTTAAGCTCCTTTTCATCTGATGATGCTCCCGAGTGTAACTGCAATGGAAGAGTTCTGAAGTGTTGAAGCCACAAATTCAACGGTACCATCACGTTTAGTTTGTTTTTTAAAGACCCAAGGGAAAATAAGTAGAGAGTCCCTGCATGGTCAGAACACCTGGGGGATCAACTGGGGATGTAGGGGTGCAGCAGATCAGAGATATATCCAGGTGCTGGCTGGACATAGTCAGAAGAATTGCTACAGCGATTTGGATCAGTTTTATAAGGCTAAGGGAGGACTTGCTGAGGCAGGTGACAAGGGAATTACAGAAGTCAAGCTGAGAAAATATAAAGGCATAAAAAAGCATCTTTAACTCAGCTAGTGAGACAGATTTGATGATTTATATCTGCAGTTCGTCATTAGGATACAAAGACATGAGTGTGGGAACGATGACAAATAAAAAGCTTAGATAAAAAGGTCAGAGCTGTTTCCTGTATTGATTTTTACAATGTAATGCTGCTGAAGAACGTATTAGATTCACATCAATGGTACAGAAATAAAATAATGATTACGATCTGTCATGCAAGCTTCCCAGGTGGAAATTATAGGAGAGAAAGAGAAGGCGTGAAAAGCTAAAAATAGACCCTGCTGTCACGTTATAGAATTGCTGCATTTACAAGGAAATATCAATAACAATGTTCTAAATATGTGGCCGGTAAATCAATAATCAACCAGGTTGTAATGAGGAAATACTCAACAATGTAATGTAGTGTAGGGAGAGTCAATATTTGAAAGAAGTGAGCCAAGAGAATCCAAATCTTCCAAACAAGAAAGTGCAGATGGATGTTTGTGCTGAGAGGAATGGCAGGCTCTTATTCAGATATTATACTTTTATGTTACACATAAACGCAGGTTGTGCGGTTGCAGATAGCTTTGAATTTAGGGGTTTTAATCATACCAACATTACACATTGTAATTTGGCTTAATTTTATTTATGAAGAATATGCTCTTGTGTTTATCACAGGGATTCCTGTGAAAGCAGAACAGAGTCAGGTTGTTAGGGTTGTGGAGCTGAAATGGAGCTGTATTTCTGACAGCAGGGATTTGGCTTTGGGTGGGTCGGACAGATAAAAATAAAAACAGAGAAACAAGGGAGATGGAGAGAGAGAGGGGGGGAGAGAGAGAGGAATAGATTAACACGAGTCACAGAAATGAGAAAAGAAGGACAGCTAAAGAGGATTTAATTTTGTTGCAGTGAAAGTTGATTCCTGCTTGTGCAATATTAAAGCCCATCTGTTTTGATTACAAAATCATGTGGCAGCAGCTGGGGATTCTGTGCACAATCCCGCACATGCCTCTGCTGTTAGTACCCAATCTTTTCAAAAGAAGCAATCAAATATAACCTCTATTTGTCAGGTATAATCAAGATAATCAGTGATAAACTTAAATAAATACATTTTAACACCTTTAATCTTAATCATTTTTACAGATTGCAACAAAGATGTTTAATGAAAACACAATTCTGTTGTTCAGTGTACTGTACATTCTTCTGTAAAGCAAAAGCCTTTTATGTTGAAGATGTGACGACAATGTGACTCAGGGATGAAATTATTCACAGTTAATGCTTTTGGTCACATGAGTCCATTTCTTGAAAACTGCCAGTATGTGTGTTTTTATTTGTTTCCCTGTAAAACAGAGAGCGAGTCCATGTCAAGAACAATGCACATGTGTGAACCTGGTGGTGGATTATTAATAGCAAAATAAAAAATAAAAACTTTGTTTCCATAGTGACTATTTGAGTCCATTCTGGAAAGTGTTTCCTGTTGTTACCTAGACAACAATCCAGCAATGGCAATTAATGAATGTGGCACGCAACTAAATGATGCTGTGAGCTGGTGATCGCTTCATAAACAAGCTCAGCTCCTTACAGGGGACCGGTGGAAAACTGGAGAGAAGAGGATGGCAGGGTTGAAAGAATGGAAAATCCTTTTTTTTTTTTATCTCTGCACCAATCACTGGTTTATGCATCTTTTATATGTCTTGATTTTCCTACATTTACCTGTACATGTAATACCCAACTGTGGCATAGGTAAATGTTTTTTAGCAAAATAAATGAAATACTTTTTATTTTTTTTATTTTTTTTACAGCCTCTTTATGACAGAGGGTGCAGTACAGATACAGACAGAAAAGAGGGTGAGGGTCCTTCCGGCGGCTGGGACTGACTTTGTATCAATGATTTAACTGTGTCGAAGGTTTAGATAGATAGATATACTTTATTGTCTGTCCCAACAGAGACAGCCTTTGACAAGGCTCGAACAATAAACACAACTTACATTAAAAAAATAAAGTGAAGTACATTAAAAGAGGACTTAAAAACAACACTTTCTAAAAATGGGGGTCTATTTGATTTTGTTCAGAATGGTTATTGCAGAGGGAATGAAGGTTTTTTTGTAGATGTTTTTCCAGGCCAGAGGGACTTTGTAGCGTCTGCCTGATGGCAGTAACTGGAAGGTTTGTCTCCTTTCCATTAGGTGACTTCAATATTTGTTTCTGACTCTCTCTGCATAGATGCCCAAAGACCCTACAGATGGTTTCATGAACTCACAAAAACAAGCTTAGGTTTCATGTTGGATTCGGACAGCTTAATCCTGGACCAACAAGGATATGGGTGTGTAAAAAGTGGCACACCTTAAATAAACATCCTATTGTATGACACTCAGCGTCCATGACAGAGGATTATATAACAAAGAGTAATAGGCTTTAAAGTTACATTCAACTGCAGGGCACTTCGAGGCTAATTTGTTCTTTGGGAACAAAGGTTCAAGATGGTCTGCCAGTTAGGAAGAGGCGGGCAAATGTATCACAGCAGATGGAAAGCATGAGAATTCAGACAGGAGGACTAAGTCAACCCAAAGAGGGGACCTCAGGAGGAAACACAACTTTTGAAACACAAGACAAGAATTTCTCTTCATCTTTACCTTGATGTAATCAAGTTTTGCTATGTTGACTGCAGAGGCTTATAATATAGTGGCTCTGGTTGCACAGAGCCTCAGGAGGATATCTCTCTCTCTCTCTCTCTCTCTCTCTCTCTCTCTCTCTCTCTCTCTCTCTCTCTCTCTCTCTCTCTCTCTCTCTCTCTCTCTCTCTCTCTCTCTCTCTCTCTCTCTCTCTCTCTCTCTCTCTCTCTCTCTCTCTCTCTCTCTCTCTCTCTCTCTCTCTCTCTCTCTCTGCCAACAATCATTGACTTCAGATGATAAAACACTCACCCTCAAAGTAAAAAAGCAGCCCCATCCCCTCCCAAAGTGTCTGACACTGGCCAGCTATGCAGACATAACAACTAAAAATTCTAGAAGCTCAATCCAAGGCAGGAGCTGCTGTCAAGTAAAACTGATTAATTTAAGTCTGTTTTGTGCATCTATATATAAAAATGCTGGAAATAGACAAAAGCGGGTTTGGCTTGACCTTAGTTTCAGGATTATTTGCACACAGAAGTAATGCTGTAGGAGAAGATGTTTCCATTTTTGCGCTTTTTCTAAACAATCACAGTTTTAGTATCCTATGGTTTTGTAATGTTAAGTCTAGCCGTATGATGTCTTTTTAAAGTCATTTGGGAAATCCTTGAAAGCTCCAAGTTTCCCATAACAACTCTGAAATCTGATGTAATTCAATCCAGCAGCAGGACTGAAACTCTTATCTCAGTGAAGTGTTTATGATCAGTTTTAGTGTCAAAAGCCATAACACAGCTTTTTATGGCAGTTGTTCATTTACTGGTGCGATTTTATCATAAACTGCATTTCCTTGAGAGATGTTTTCTAAAGTTCTACGTACACGTTTGTGCATGCAGCAATATGCCTCACTGTAATGCTTTCTTCTTGGTATGTGACGCTGCGTCTGAGAGGTAAATCAACTGTGTAAACAAAAATGAATGTAATGAGCTTCTAAAGATATATTGCAGCAAGATCCTATTACAGGAAATGTACTGCAGGGCTCTTGTTTTAAACTGAAATAGACCCAACACACAGAACATTTCCCATGCATCCTGTTTACTTGAGTGAAAACATCCTTTCTATTAAACAGAGAAATAGTCGTTGGACTTCTGCCCAAACAAACATGTCACTAGATCTGTAATGGTGTTCTAGTCACATCCTGCAGACACCTACTGCTCTCAAAATGATTCATTGGATAAATGTTTACTAGCCATGAGAGACTGTCTCATTTGCTTTGAAGAGTTTGTTAAGTCATGTTTAATGCTTAAACAAACATTGAACTTCACTGAACCACCTTATCTGTATTGATACAAAAATAACCGGTAGCATACCTTGTGGCATACCTGTGCCGCTTGCACCAAAACCTGATCATGTTAGAGCCTTCGGTGTCCAATAAGGCATAAAACCGGTTTATATAGGAATATTGACAAGAGTAGTACTGCATAAATAAAAACATAAATTACACAATGACATAATAACAAAAACCATGTCATGAGGATAGTTTCACAGTAATAAATTCATAACTAATAACTCCTTAGAAAATATCCAGTCGTCACACAACAATCATTTCCTAGGCAAAAAACTGGCATGACAGTAAAAAAGATCCTTGCTGTCAGGTAAACAAGACAAATGCTAATCGTCAATTGTTTGTCCATCTGAGAGAACAGTAAATACATCATTAAAAGTATCAAAACACACACCCTTTACTGAAACTTTCCCAGAGTGCAAAGAGGACAAAATATCAAACTGGACCACAAGTTGTTGTTTATTTGCTGCTGGCATTGACACACTTACGTTCCAAGGACTTCTTTGAAGTCATACTGATCTCTTACGTCAGTGGTCTTCTTTTTCCAGGCATGGCAGTCATCACCAAGAGGCATCTTCTTGTTGTTACGGTCAGAAACAATGCTGGTGAGGAAAAAGAAGAAAGAAGGAATTACCAACAGTTTAGCTGCCTCCACCCCTCCACCTGCAGGAAATACAGAACTGCCCTGACAGTTGTTATATGGATGGGAAATAAATATTTTATAGAATCAAATCATTTTAATGTTATATCACAGCAATATGATGTCAGCTGGTAAATGCTGAAATCCAAAAAACATATGACCAATATTGTAAGGCAAGTTATTTGTAAAGCACCTCAAAAACACAGGAATATCATTATACCTGAAATCAACTGCATGTGTCAAAAAGCTGCTTGTGGTCACCGTGTGAGAATTGTTATAGGCTACTTTTGTGCTGTGAACACTTTATTTCTCGACTCAACCACTAGACTTTTGGGAAATTTCATCATGCAAAAATAATGAGTTCTTCTTCTTTTTAATACATAGGGTTAGGTTTACTAAACTAAGCAGGGACTATTTCACAAACAGCCAGACAAACAGACCGTTGCATGATATGGTCAGTTTGTTACAGAGGCAATTGCATGTGTCTCAGGGGACTGAAGAATGCAGGAAACTCTGCTTCTTCTCTCATACAATTTCCAAACACAATTCACATAACAAAGGGTGCAGGATCAGGAAGCATCTTATCCACTTTACTATAAAACTAAGGTGGCTGCAACGCTGTAGGTGATTTGAAATTTAAGCAAAGGCAATGAAGAGTAATGTCATGTTCAGGAGGTATCTTTATGATCAACAAAAGAATTTATGGCAGAGCAGGTTAAAAGTCAAATCTTTTAGGTTAATAAGTCAACTTTGAGTCCAGTCGAGAAACAAATACAGTGGTTCACATTGTCATTCTACAGCAGAGCTGTCAGACCTGCTTAATACACTGGAGTGCTATAGGCTGTGGATGCTGGTCACATAACTAAGGTTGACAAGTTCCGAGTAACAACAGGCAAAGGTTTTCCCCCGGTGCTTACTTTAGTTTTATAACAGCACTGTTAAACAAGTGTGACTGAAACTTTAAGATCTGTCTGGAAGGGACACTGTCAAGGAGAACCTAAAAATTCATGAGCCTGTCAGCTCAATTGTAACGTTTGCAGGACTTTACTGAGCTTGAGTGAAGTGATAAAAATAAGCTGCACCACCTGAGCCAAATTAAATATCAAGCCAATGGTATAAACCCTCCTGCCCATGAAGTCAAAAAAGGACAGGAAATGTTAATTATTTGGTTGTTTCTTTCTCAGGAGATTAAAAAACAGATGTTTGTCTTGATCATAAAGGAGTATCCTTCTGTCACAGTTATCTTCATCCAAACCATTTAAGTGCCAATAACTCAAGACCTGACGGACTAAAATAGCCCTGTTCATATCAGCATACCTCCGTCCTCTACTGTTCCTGCTGCCTGTCTGCCACCTTCACTGTCTGTCTGTACGAGATTAACATACTGCTGTGGATTGTACTAGAGCCGTTTTGTTCAAGACAATATACAACACATTTTATCATCTACCTATCAGGACAGATTAAACGAGATAGATTTAGATTTATTGTGTGTATGAAGGCAGCTCTTAGATAAGATAAATGTTATTAGAACACACAGCCTCTTCTAGCTGCTTTGATTGATGCACACATGCACAAACTGGCCTAGATATACACACACACACACACACACACACACACACACACGGTCCTCTTGCTGCCTTCACTAATGACAGAAGACAGCTTCATACCTGTTGTCATGGAAACCCAAAGGAGCAGCCATGGAATCTGAAAGTCTCTAAATTGCTTTGGTGTGTAAAGGCAGGTGGAAGCTAAGGTTGAACTCAATCTGGTCATTTTGATGTCTGGCTTCAGTGTGTTATTTGTATTAAAGAAGCGGATCTGGTGTGCGGCTGTTCAATATGGATAAGAAGAACACACAAGAGGCAGCAATGCGATCCAGTATACATATATGCTTCTGCATGACCAGAGAGGAGGTGCTGTATTAATACACAAACACGCTACTTTAGAAATCCAAACATTTGCTACATCTTATTGGGGGTACAACTTATGCATGAGAACAGCTTAGGGAAATATAACCAAAACCCTATAAGGTTAAACCTTACAGTTGAAAATTTAAATTAGTATCTGAGCAATTCATCATTGCCTCCATTGAATTTTGCATACCATTTAAAGCAACTGAAGTAAAGGAAGTTACGCTAAATTAGGCATGAAAAAGCTGCATGCAAAGTAAATGTGCTAAGGGGAAGCAGTAAATAGGAAGTCCAGTGAAATATGTGTAAAAGGTGTGCCGTTTGTTCCTCAATTCTTAAAGCTAGTAGACAAACAAACAATATGCAACAGGCTGTAACTCTATTCCAGTGTACATCTTAAACTTGACACCAGTGTCTTTCTTTGGAAATTGAAGATCCATTACAGAGCATGAGGTGAAGGTTTTAAGGTGAAATACTTCCTCCACTGTGCTGTTTGTAGCATCTCACCTCGCTCATTTGGAATTTCATGGAGATTCATGGTAATTCATGCACTGAGAATGGGTGATATTCAACATCAAAGTCCTTTAAACATTACAAATCCATGATTCTGGCAACTGTTTTCCCTTGCTGATCATCTTAGAACTTCACATTTAGCAGCCCAGAAAATCCCAACATGCACCAAAATATCCTCTTTAACATTTTGGTTTTACAAACATCTTGACATGTTTTACATCATCACGTTGTAAGAAACACAGTTAACGTATAGAGAGAGAGCTTTTCACAACATTGTCAAAGTTGAGCAATGGGCTAGGTGTTTTCCAAACAGGTAAATGCTATAAACAGCAGATTAAGGTTCAAGTTTAGGAGACACAGAGGTTAATGGAGGAAAGTTTTTAACATGTGGGAGAGTAGAGGAGAGTCACATGCAGGTATCAAGTGAGCATGTAGAGGGCAAAGACAGCCCCTCCATGTCCACTGATGACATGACTTTTGGCTAGTGGGTGAAGTTTAGCTGCTGAAAAAAAACCGCAAGAAGCAACAGGATTGAAGAGGCTTGAGCTAGGGAGAAGAACTCTACCGTAACCATCACATTCCCGGAGTATAGTATGTGACATGCAGCATTCACCCTCGTTTAAGGTTTACACAAAAGAGAGCCTCTGTACTCACTGGTTTCCCATTCCTGTGATGTGCAGTGGACAGAAGAAACACACATAAACAAATACACATACCGACGACCAGAGTTAAATGTGACAAATAGCATATAGTTAAGGTGTTTGAGTGGGTAATGAAATTTGCAATGGTGTGAAATATTTAACAACATTTATGAATTCAGAGACAAACAGAACAAACTTAAAATTAAATTAGATACATGGTTTTCAAATTAAAATTGACCAAACTGAGATATTGAACATGCATGCAGGAAGGCATTTTTTTTTTCAACGTTGAGATTTTTTTGAGATATGTCTCTGGTCTAAAATTTGATTTCAGAGATGCAGAAGGAAGAACCTTCCTGATAAATTTGATATGGCTAAAATGTCATACATAATGTCTTTTTGAAGGACAGCAACCCAGCATGTCTCACTGGAAACCTGTAGTACCTCAAACAGTTATAAACAATTAGTACATTGACCACAATGAATACAGCTATAGGAGCCATCACAACAAAGCCTCATCCATATATTTAGTGCATCATGGACCAAAACACTGAATTATACTGTAATGGTGGGCAGCACGTTTTCCTTCAAGCCAAGTGGTACACATTTACTGCAGATCCACAGAGGAAGTTTGTGATAGGCTACTTGTTAGTCTCTTAAAATAAGCTCTTCAGGGAATCAGAAAACTAATCTACAAAACCTGCCCATTATGCATGCCCCCCAATCAATCAACTGCCCTGCACCCATTGGCTGATGGGCAAACACAGAGATTTACTGACAGTCTGATTGGTCAGCTAGTGTCAGTGACGCACAGCAAATCTCCTCTCAATGTGGGCTTATTAATTGATTAGCAGACTAACTTCGCCTGACATCATCCCATCAACAGAGGCGGTGAGGTGTGTGTGTGTGAGTGTGAGTGTGAATGTGTGTGTAAAAGAGAGAGAGAGAGAGAGGGGGGGGGGGGGGACAGAAACAGAAACGGGGAAGGAAACCGAGTGAATGGTCAAACTTAACATTCTTAAGGAGTAGAAAATTACACATCCCTTTACGTTTACCAAGAAAACCTTCCCGCCATTTCTAGTGAAGAGATTAAAAAACCCTGCCAATGCTCCCTATAGACACACAGCTTATAGAGTTATTTGTAGGCTAGAGAGGGTCAGACAACTGCCTGAACTTAATTACAAAACATTGATTCACAAAGCAGTCTCGCTTAACTTTTTTGTCATGGAAACTGACATGGATGCTGAGCTTTCAGTCTGTCAGAGACTGCAGCTTCATTTACACAGAGGTCCCCTTCATTTGAATGGTACATATACATCTGCAAAACGCGACCTGCGGATGACGACACCTGGTATTTTACAGTAAAGTAAACGACTCATTGTGTACATGTCAACTAACGTTTCTAACTCATTCAACCCCACAACCAAAGAGTACAAATGTAGGCTAAGTTAAAGCAACCTTTAATGTTAGCTAAACGTTGGTTGCTTCAAACGACCTGTCAAAAAAAATGGCAAACAAACACGCTCCAGCATTTATTTCGCCTTTTTTTGAGAGAGTCAAAATCACAAAGTTTTGTTTCATGACATTGTGGCGGGATTTCTGTCCTACCTAAAAATGTGTCAGGCAGTAAGGTCCGGCGTCCGAGTCAGTCTGTCCGTCTTTCTCTCAAACTCACAGCGCTCTCACCATGGACTGTACGAAGGCTTTCACCGGAATCTGTACTTGGCAACCTCACACAGAAGCAGCGCTCCTCTGGACGTCACCTCGGGGGGCGGGACCAGGGTGGCTGACGGACCAATCAGTGCACGGAATGCTGCTAACAGGTAAACAGTTCTGCAACATGACTGGTCGCCTTTCTCCACCCCGTGGCTCCCATGCTGTGCTGAGGGTAAAATGCTCTTGAGTTCTTTCAAGGTGCAGCTTTTGACAGGTTATAATGAATTGCCCCTGCTGAAAACTAACATTGCAGGTATAAAAAAATCCATCTTTTTAGGCTGACTATGTTGCTCATATTCAAGGAGGTTTCAGTTGCTCTTAATGCCTTTCTTACCAAAGGCCATAACTCTGTACAACAGCTCACCTCATGCGAGCAGAGTACTGTCATCATGATAATATCTGTCTCTCTATACTGTAATCTGTTCTGCACATGTTACATTTTCAAATCATCCCTGCACTCATGTTCACTGTTATATTGAATAGTTTCTGCTGATAATATGTCTACACTCATGCACTTTAACTTTAACTTATAGTATCACTGATTATCGTAACAGCTCTGGACAGCTCCCTATATCAATACTGTCCATTTACAACTCTGTTTTTGCACATTTACATCTATCTCCAGCAAAGTATGTTGTATTTAATCTTTTCATATTTAAGACTAGTAATGCTTAGTTAAATCCTGGTTGTATATATTCCCATTCTTAGTTTTGATATTTTTAGTGCTTATTTACTTTGTATTTAATATTATATTGTGTTTAGATTTGTTAATATTGTGTTTCTTGCTAATATTGTGTGTTGGATAACCTGCTGCTGTTACGCCACAATTTCCCAGTTTGGGATCAATAAACTAATTCTGTTCTATTCTATTATTCTATTCTAATATACCTACAAAGATCAAAAACGTTTTACAGGAGGAAGTTAAAAGAGATAACAGCTTAAACAAGGACAAATGAACTAGCCTAAATAAAGATAGGACTGAATAGACATTGAACCGGCTAGACGATAAACTATAGTTGGGCTGAACTGATAGGCTGTGTTACAATGTATAGGTTACTAATAGATAGGCTATATCAGCGGTAAAGGACTTGAAGCTGTAGGTGTGTGTGTGTGTGTGTGTGTGTGTGTGTGTGTGTGTGTGTGTGTGTGTGTGTGTGTGTGTGTGTGTCTATCATGTATAAAACTCTGGACCACAAAATCATTCAATGTAATGTCTGTCTGCGGTGGTCTTGTGCTCCATCTAGTGGATCGCATAGCCACAACCAGAGAAGTTTAAAGATCAAGTCAACAAAAATACTTTAACCAACAATTCAACTTGAGACTTATGAGTGTTGTGCAACAACCTTATTTCATTAATTAATCATTAATTTCCTTTGTAAAGACAAATAGAAAAAAATGCTTCCTGGGTAGATCAAAAATGCAGAAAAAAAATAGATATCCTATTTGAAAGGACGTTATTTAAAGTAGCTGAAGTTGCCATTATTTATTTTACTAATGTTATTTTACAAAATAAAGTAAATAAGTAAATACAGGTCTACAAGTAGCCTACTAAAATGTTTTCACTCGTTAACAAGCATTTACGTAGCTGCTTCCAGTAAAACAACAGCAGCACCCCCTGCTGGCTGTGAATATATACACAGGAAAAAGCTTACAGCACCTGGTATTCCCAGGCGGTCTCCCATCCAAGTACTAACCAGGCCCGACCCTGCTTAGCTTCCGAGATCGGACGAGATCGGGCGTGTTCAGGGTGGTATGGCCGTAAGCAAATAATGCGGCAACAAGCGTCCTCTTTAAAGATGCTGTTTTATCTTGATTTGTGTAGGTAGTAACTGATGATAGTGTAACAGATTGTTGTGTTTGTTATATGTACTATATATCTCATTCGCTTTTAGAGTGAGGTGTCCCTAATAAAGTTACGGTAGCTGCCGAAAAGCAGTTGTTGTTGTTGCCTCTGGACTTAACCCGTTAATGGTTGACACCTAAATCAAACACTTAATTTTTTCCTCTTCTCTCAGACACTAACGAGAATAAAACTAAGTTTTTAATAAAAAAATGTATCACTAGCCTCTTTTGTTTTGTCTTTGATGTTAGGCTACTATGAGGGACAAAACATGACTAAAGTATAAATAAATACATAAATACATAAATGTTGGGAGAAATGCATACAATAATTTATAAATAATTAAATAAATGCATCAATAAATATATATATAAATAAATGCAACAATTCATGTAAAAAATAATATATAAATAAATATATTCATATATTTATTTATGTATTTCTGTGTCCATGTTGTACAAGGAAAAGTAAATATGTAAATTATTTATTGATGCATTTATTTAATTATTTATTAATTTATACATTATAGTATGCATTTCTCCCAACATTTATTTATTTATACTTTAGTCATTTTTTGTCCCTCATAGGGCTACATTTAGGCTAGCTGCTTTTAATCGCATCTGTGATAAACTGCCTTGTCTGGATACAGTCGCTAGGTGGCGCTGTGCTGTAGACTGAACCGTGTTTCTACCCCGGCTGGACCCTCTCACTATCGTCGGCAGTGAGTGAGCTGCCAGTTGCTTAGTGACGACAAACTATCGACCTCTTCTGATTTCCTGCGTTTTCAAAATCTCTCTCTGGCAATGAGCTAGTGCAAAGTTTCCTAAACAGAAGTGCCATGTTTTTGTCGTCTCTAACGCTGAGTAATGAGACGTAATGAAACCTTCAGTCTAACGTTTCGCGCTCAGGGACATGGTCTATGAAGCGTTTTGAAGAATGATGAATAATTATGTTTTCATCAGGGTCGTTGGGAAAGGCAGCTACGGGGAGGTGAACTTGGTGAAACACAGAACAGACCGAAAACAGGTAAGAAACGATACATGTGACCCCGGTAGTGTGCACCTCATGAATGTTAAATTGAGCTGCGAAGAGCATTAGCAACAGTGGTGGGCTAAGAATGAATAATCACTTGGCTTTACGCTACAACCTCCTTCTGAGTCTTAACTAGCCGTAAGTTAGCCAAAGTCTGCTAAAATCTCAGAGATGTGTCGTCTTTGAACAGGACGAATGTTATGGTCTGTCTAAATAATGCTCCAACTGTTCTTTATATTTTCCCTTAATCCTTCTTGATACATCTTTATAATCTATCAATTCATCATTTAGTTTGTTAAGTGCCCAAAACACTTATTATTAATCAGTTACAACATACTGTACAAACTCAAAGTCCTCTATTTAAAACCCAATATGAGACGGGAAAAAAAACAACATAAGAAATTAACAATTTGTTTGCACAGAGGGGCATTTTTTTCCAGACAGTGCATGTTGACCTACATCAGATCATTTTTCAATGAACACACTAAGTGGGGGGGGGGGAATCATGCTCTGTAATGGATCTTCAATTTCCAAAGAAAGACACTGGTGTCAAGTTTAACGGTCTTAAACAGTATTGTACTTAGGTTAATGCAGTTTTCATAATAATGTGATCACATCTCGTGTGCTAGACACAAAATGTATATTTTGGGTATATTTTCAGGCCAATAACAGCCACTTTAAAAGTTGTTTAAATGTGCATCGTATTTGCAGTGGTCAATGAAACATTTTTAACCTAATCGAACCCTTGTTGTATTATCTGTTCTCCTCCTGACCACCATTGTCATTGCTGCAGTGGAAGTTCTGTACTTTTAGCAGAGGTCATAGATCAACAGTAAAACTTCAGGTGTAGACAGATTTGTTAATTCCTAGAGTGCATCTGTCATTAACTACTGCTAGAATAATGCGCTAATGCAAATTTGACTTCAAACCAAGTTAATATTAATTAAAGTCTGGTTAAAAATTACGAGTTTTCTCCAATTCACATATTTACTTTCCACCTCTTCTGCTCTCTCAGTATGTAACTGCTCAAGTGTACAGAATGAAAAACATTTAATGGTTTCCTGAATCTCCCTTGAATTGATGACAGGTTTTTGTTTCTTTTTCTTTCTTGAACTAGTATGTTATTAAGAAGCTGAATTTAACCACCTCCTCCAAGCGGGAACGTCGCTCTGCAGAGCAGGAAGCACAGCTTCTGTCCCAGCTGCGGCATCCTAACATTGTGACATACAGGGAGTCTTGGGAAGGAGATGACTGTCAGCTGTACATAGTGATGGGCTTCTGTGAAGGTGGCGACCTTTATCATCGACTGAAACAGCAAAAAGGCAACCTCCTTCCTGAGAGGCAGGTCGTGGAGTGGTTTGTTCAGATAGCCATGGCGCTCCAGGTAAGTTAAGAGATTGAAAGTAAAGGCATGATGAGGTCAGATATACATTTTTTTCGGTTTTAAATTACAATTCATCCTGCATCACTTGTGTGATTTGCTTTGCAGTACTTGCATGAGAGAAATATTCTTCACCGGGACCTTAAAACGCAGAACATTTTCCTGACAAAGACCAACATCATCAAAGTTGGAGACCTTGGCATTGCACGAGTATTGGAAAACCAGAATGATATGGCCAGCACACTCATAGGGACCCCATACTACATGAGCCCTGAGCTCTTCTCTAACAAACCTTATAACCACAAGGTACTTCAGATCTCTCTTTATCTATACAAGTCTGTTGTAAATCATTATAGAAGGTTAAATATTAACCTTTTTTTTTTCTACAGTCAGATGTCTGGGCCCTGGGCTGCTGTGTGTACGAAATGTCCACTCTGAAGCATGCGTTCAATGCTAAGGATATGAACTCACTAGTTTATCGCATTGTGGAAGGAAAGGTGGGTTTCATCTTTTAACACACACTTTATCAGATCATCTGCAAAAGTCCACTTTGAGTTTATAACCCAAAACGTTTTTTTTATGCTTTTCATGAAACAATATGATTTAGTCTGATTGTTAAAGGGATACTTCACTCATTTGCATTAAGCTTTGCATCATTACAAACCTGGTAGTATTTATGAATGGTCGTGCATCCCGCCCTCATTTTTCCGAGATGTGAAATCTTTGTATTTCTGAGTCTGAAAAGGAGCTTCCAGTGACGCAAAAATGA